TCAATTACGTTGTAGTTCCTGCTCTTTTGATCATTATAAATTCTGAAGTGCCATATAGAACTCTGCACAAATTTACCCTAACACATCTACACTCAATTTTAGCAATTTTACAAACTTCATTTATTTAAGTATTCTCACCCAAATAATTTTTAAAGATTTCTTCTTTAGTTAGTTTATTTGATTGATGTTGTATGGGTTAAATCCATGGAGTTGGGTTTCTAATCGTTACGTCATTGGCTATAGCTGTCTTAAGTTTAGTTTGGTTTGGTAAGATAACTGAAAAATTCAAATATGATGAGGATATACATTTTGAACTTCCTGTAAAGGAGCTAGTCATATTCATCAGGCTCATGACACGAAGATTACAAGTTTGAATCATGTTCTCGCACTAAGTAAGGGTTTCATTCTACATCATTATCCTTTTCATTCTCTCATCATTTTATCTTGTGACACAAGGCTGTAGAGGACCATATCAAAAGAAGAAATTCAGATAAGATCTATGATTGGCTTGGCTAGTTCACTGGGGTTTGGGGAAATTTTGGAAGTTGTGAAGGTCCTCTAAGGTAGCTCTAGGGCTCGGGGTCTAGGCCAAGCAGAGGTCAACTCGCTTCATAAGGCTGAAGGTAACCTTAGATTCCTAAATGAAGGGATCTCGTGCATTCCAAGTAGCTTAAAAGTGGAAACTTGGATGTTTGAAAGACCTGTCAAGTTCGTTCAGAGATTAACTCACTTGTCTCATTCATGTATTTACTCGTAGCATTCACAGAAAACACACATGCAGGAGAGACCTTAAGCCGTGGCATAAGACTTTCAAATGATGGTGAATACAAGGTTATACAACACTTGCAAGGTGAACTAACTTGTCACCCAGAAAAACTAAGATATTTTAATAGTATATGTCCATAAAATCTTTGATAGTTGTGTTTTCACTTAGTCTCATTAAGTTACATAGATTTATTTTTACTAAAAAGTATTTAAAATTGTAGCATTTTACAACTAGTAAAGTTATTTTTCAATTAAATCACAATATTTCCATTTATAGAAAAAATGCCCTATATAAAAAAAAAATTCTAGGTGTGAGAGAAATGAAACAAAAAAACAATACCCAAAAAGGAAAAACAAAAGCAATTTGGAAAACAATAATAAAACCAGTTCCTTAATGTTTCTTTAAGGTCTTGAGGCTGTGACGGCTTGGGATACTGCAGATAATTTTTTGGGTTTACTTTTCACTCTCTAGCCTTGCTTGGATTGATTTTCTAGTTTCAAATATGTTTTCTAGTGTGTGGTGCATGACTCAGCCGACTATGATGTGAGTAGCTACTTCTTCAATCGGATTTGATGAGGAAGTTTCAGGTTGGTTTTTGTTGATTATGTATTCTTTTCTCTCTTCATATGTTCCATAGTCGTCTTTTTCGGAGGTCTTATAAGCTATGGATTGTGATTAAGCAGGTCTAGTGTGTAAATAAGATTTCTCTAAAGTGATGGAGTTGGTTGGTCTTGAGGCATTGTTAGTTTTTGTATCTACGGTTAGGGTCTTTTAGTTGTGGTCTAAGCATGTGTTGTTTGTTCTTCATGGTGTCAAGTTTCGATCTGGATATCTCTTTGGTAAGGTGTTGGTGCTTAACCTTTGGGCTTATTGATGAATTTTCTTTGTGGAGCTTTGGTGTGGTGATGCCGTGTCATTCCTTGGTTTTAAACCGACAGGTTCTTCCGAATTTCTTGGTAAGGTAGAGACTTAGCTCAATCGTGTTTGGTCCTTGAGTAGTTTGATTATCGACCGTTGTCTTTGTCGGTTGTATGGGTGGAGATTTTCTTTCTCTTAGCTTCCCTTAGTTGAAATGTTCTTGAGTGGTCCGAGCTAATGGTTCCTTTCAGAACATGTCTTGCAGCTTTTTTATCGCCACAATAATATTGGCCTTCCGTGCGTTCTCGTTCATCTCAGCTTCTTATATATACTTTTCATTCTTGATAATTGTTTATTAGCACTAGAAATTCTTAGTGATTTTGTTCCTTTTTAGTTTGTGCAATGTTGGTAGCTTTTTAGGTTTCTTCTTTGGCTCCGAGCAGCACTGTTTACCGTGCTGACCGATGGCTCCAGAAATGTGCATTCTATTGTCGGTTTGGTGTAATCTTTTAAAATAATAAGGGTGAATTTGCCAAATAACCAAAACTGGAGTCAGAATTAGGTAAATTTTATTGATTTTGACATAATATAATTTTTAACATTTGTACCACAAAATACCCGATTTTATCATTTTTCTTTATAGATAGCAGATAAATGAAAGAGAGAAAGCAATGTGGCTGATAAAACATAAGGTCAAAAACACCTGAAGACTATTTCACATAAAAAATGAGAAACCATCCATATATAAGTTTACTAACTACATATATATGCAGTTATGCACTGAATGTTCTATTCCATATCGTTAAAATAGTATAGCATTATAACCCCACATACCACTCCTAAATACTAGACATACCTCAATCTCAGCTTCTATACTAAACCATAAATACTAATTCCTAAAATCAAATTCAAAATACTATAATATATATCCCGCACGAAAGAAAGAAAGAGGAGCCATCCACACACATCTCGACTGAATACACACCCTTTCCTCTAAATACTAAATCCTAAACCTTAATTATACATACCCTTCCTTTTAAATACTAAATCCTAAATCTTAATTACTGAATCTTAAACCCAACACACATCTCTTAAATGTTACCCCAGACATAACTTTTGGATACTAACCCCTAAATTGATATCACTAAACTCAAACTTCAACCCACATCTTCCAAATACTAAACCTTAAATCGTAATCACTAAATCTAAACCCAAAAAAATAGAACAAAATACATAGAATAATACATATTGGTGAGCAAAATAGAACATTTTTTATTAATCACCAAATAGAACGATATATGATAGGGTCACTAAACCCAAACCTCAATCCACACCTTCCAAATACTAAATCCTAAATCCTAATAACTAAACCCTAAATCCAAGTATAAACCCTAAACCCAAATATAATGGAACAAAATACATAGTATAGTACATATTGGTGAACAAAATAATACATTCTTTATTAATCGTCAAATGGAAAGATACATGATTAAAAGTATAGTAACATATTATTCGTATTACATAACATGAATATAAATTCATAATATATATTCTCTTACATTTCTATTCCATATGCATATAATAGAATAGAACATAATGTTACAAAATTGTTCATCTTCTCCGATCAATTCTAGGTCACACACAGTGACAAAGATAAGTGTAATTGATGACATTCGTAGGAATAGTACATGTAACCGCCTAGTAAACCAAAGAGATTAGGGAAATTGAAGGAAGAGTTGACGAACCTTGCGGCGGTGCTGTTTATGTTGTCGGCGACTCCATAGATTTCAGATGCGCGACGCTTCCGGTCAGTAGCCAATCGAGCCGTTGCAGATGGGTATCTCCTAGGCAAAGCTACTCCAGAAAATAGAACACTCATTATTAATCATAAAATGGAAAGATACATTATAGGGTCACTAAACTCAAACCTGGTTAGGTATCTCATAGAAAAACACGGGTTGTTGACCGGCACCGCTGCAGAGTTACCATCGTCGACTATGAGCCGATTTCAGCACCCGAGGTAGAGGCCGAAGTTGATTATGACGAATGAGATGTGAAAATTCGACGAAAAGGAGGCGGAGGTGTCGGGGTAAGTGAAGTCGTTGTCGGAGACCTTTCAGTTTCCAAGAATTTATTTAGATAAGTGAAAAAGATGTGGAGGATGGTAAGACACGATTTACAGTTTTACACCTAATATATATGTTTATTTCTTTTTTGCAGGTTACACTGATTGACGCAAAAGACAAAATGATATTAATATAGAAAAGTAATGGCGTGCAATTAGTCTGTTAGAGTAATTTGTTATTTCGCCTATTTGGTGTTTTTGTGTGCTTATACGATCCAATTTCTCAAATAATGCCTTATATATTATTTGCAAAGTGATTTTACCACATGTTATCTCTACAATCAGTTTCACAAAAAAATGTGACATGTATACTAAAATTGATGACATGCCTCATGACAAAATATGACACAGATAATTACATCTAATGTTAATTTATATTTTTGGTAAATTTTTTAAATACGGTAATAACACATAATTTACATTTAATATTAATACTTATTTATGGTAAAAAATTTAAAATATAGTAATAACTCATATATCATCTTTAAAATAAATATATTCAAATATAATATTACAAATTTTGAAATATTATTCTATTTATTTTTATATCATACAATTTGTATTACTAAAATTTGAAAAAATTGTTACAATTTTTTAAAAATAGAAACTTCAAAAAATATTATATTTTTGAAAAATATAATAATATTTTACAAAATTTGAAATATTTTTCAAGTAAATTTTTATAATTATATAATTTTTGTTAATACTATATTTTCAAAATTTTATGTGGTTTTTAAAAAAAATATAATTTTCTAATCTCAATACCGTTAGTTTTATTTATAACATCTATTAATTTTAGTAATATTATTTAACCATTTTATATTTGGATAATTATATACCTAACAAAATTTTCTCTTAATTATATAGAATCTGATTTAACATATTCTAGCCAATAAAAAAGAAAATAAAAAATATTTCTAAAATTTAATTTTTAATATATACATATATATTATTTAATATAAACTTAAATAAAAGTTGCTTATTTTATCTTAATGTTTACATATAATTAACGTCAGGTTAATAATGTATCAAAGTAAGAAAATAAAAATTAATTAAATTTTATTTTTAAATATAATTTTATTTTTAAAATTTTTATTTCTTCACATAGTGCAAAAAAAACATCTAGTAATCTATAGATGGAAAGAAAAAAAAAAAGAGAAACAAAAGGCATGGGGAGGAGTCGAGGATGCGCATGTTACCACTTCAAGCGCACGTTAAATCCTGTCATTGCCCTTTCTCTCTAGCAGCAACAAAAAAAAAAAAGAAATTGAACAACCTAGATAAAAAAAAAATAAAACAGAGCTGTGAGAGAGAGAAGAAGAAGAAAAAAAACCGCCACAGATAGAAATGATGAAGCAGAGCTCATCGGATGCAGTCTCATCCTCTTCATCATCCATCGACCTATCTCACCCCTCATCCTCCTCCTCCTCATCGGACAAGCCCCTCTGCTCCTCATCGATTTCCCCCGCCGAAGACCACCAGGTCGGATCGTCGAGAGACGGGAGCGGAGGCGCTCAAGAGATCGTGGCCATCGATCGCCGAGGAGATTACACGGCCATGTGCCGATGGACGGTCGAGAACTTCACACGTGTCAAAGCCAAGGCACTGTGGAGCAAGTACTTCGATGTGGGAGGCTACGATTGCCGTCTCCTCGTTTACCCTAGAGGAGACTCTCAGGCCCTTCCTGGCTACATCAGCATCTATCTTCAGATCATGGACCCTCGCGGAACGTCGTCGTCTCGCTGGGACTGTTTCGCTAGCTACAGGCTCTCGATCGTCAACCATGTGGATGAGTCTCTCACGATACATAAGGATTCTTGGCATAGATTCTCTAGTAAGAAGAAATCGCACGGGTGGTGCGATTTCACGCTTAACTCGAGTGTGTTGGATCCAAAGATGGGGTTTTTGTTTAACAATGATTCCTTGCTTATTACTGCTGATATCTTGATTCTCAATGAGTCTGTTAGCTTTAGCCGTGATAGCAACAATGAGTCGGGATCGTTGTTTAAGGAAGCTGGGCCAATGCCGGATGTGTTGAGTGGGAAGTTCACTTGGAAAGTGAATAATTTTAGCTTGTTTAAGGAGATGATCAAGACGCAGAAGATAATGAGCCCTGTGTTTCCTGCTGGGGAGTGTAACTTGAGGATTAGTGTGTACCAGAGCGTGGTTAACTCCCAGGAATACATATCTATGTGTTTGGAGAGTAAAGAGACTGATAAGACCATGGTTTCGGATAGGAGCTGTTGGTGTTTGTTTAGGATGTCGGCTTTGAATCAGAAGCCTGGGTGCACTCACATGCATAGAGATTCGTATGGGAGGTTTGCTGCTGATAACAAGAACGGTGATAACACGAGCTTGGGCTGGAACGATTACATGAAAATGTCTGACTTTGTGAACCCGGAATCAGGTTTTTTGCTCGATGACACGGCTGTGTTTAGCACCTCCTTTCATGTTATCAAAGAGTTCAGTAGCTTTACTAAGAATGGCGGGTTGGTCATGGGAAGAAATAATGGAAATGGAGCAAGGAAATCAGATGCGCATATGGGGAGATTCACTTGGAGAATTGAAAACTTCACTAAGTTAAAGGATCTTCTGAAGAAGAGAAAGATAACAGGTCTTTGCATTAAAAGTAGAAGGTTTCAAATTGGGAACCGGGATTGTCGACTTATTGTTTACCCCCGAGGTACACAACTGGACTAGATTCACAACACTTTATGCTGTTTTGGTTTATAGAGTAGACATGGAATCATTAGTCCTGGATTTTTTTTTTAAAAGATCTCTGTATTTTCTTCCTTTTAAGCTGTCTGGTTGTTACATTTGTACTGTTCAATGTCTGAACTGATTGTCTTACTCTTAATGGCCTCAGGGCAGTCCCAGCCACCATGTCATCTTTCAGTATTTCTTGAAGTGACGGATTCAAGAAGTTCTAGTGATTGGAGCTGTTTTGTTAGCCACAGACTATCAGTTGTGAACCAGAGATTGGAGGAGAAGTCGGTGACAAAGGAATCTCAGAATCGCTACTCGAAAGCTGCAAAAGATTGGGGTTGGCGTGAGTTTGTGACACTTACTAGTTTGTTTGATCAAGACTCTGGATTTCTTGTTCAGGATACCGTTGTGTTCTCCGCTGAGGTTCTTATCTTGAAAGAGACATCTATTACGAAAGACTATGTGGAGGCAGAATCATCTAATTCAGCTTCACAGATTGATAGTAGCGTGAAAAGAAGTTCGTTTACGTGGAAAGTGGAGAATTTCCTGGCGTTCAAGGAAATAATGGAAACACGAAAGATTTTTAGCAAGTTCTTTCAGGCTGGTGGATGTGAACTCCGGATTGGTGAGTGGTTTGTTTTTTTTTCAACATCATCTTCTATGTTTGATTATTGATGTTTATGAAACTCCATTTTCATCATGTGTGGCTTGTATTAATGCAGGTGTATATGAGTCCTTTGACACCATATGCATATATTTAGAGAGTGATCAATCTGCGGGTACAGATGTGGACAATAACTTCTGGGTTAAGTACAAGATGGGTATTCTGAACCAAAAGAATCCGGCCAAAAGTGTATGGAAGGAGTCATCGATATGTACAAAGACATGGAATAATTCCGTCTTACAGTTTATGAAGGTCTCTGACATGTTGGAGGCTGATGCAGGGTTTCTTGTGCGTGACACTGTTGTTTTTGTGTGTGAAATATTGGACTGTTGTCCGTGGTTTGAGTTTTCAGACTTAGAGGTTAGTTTGTGACTCATTTATTCTTTAAACAATATAATACTTGTTCGTTCTTGTATTTATCTTCTGCATCATGTAGTTCTTCCTTCTTTAATGCACACTTGTAGGCCTTTTAATCTCACATTATGAATTTTATGTTTTGCCCATTCTTTTGCTAGGTCTTGGCTTCAGATGATGACCAAGATGCCTTAACCACTGATCCTGATGAAATTATTGATTCTGAGGAGAGTGAGGGCATAAGTGGGGACGAGGAAGACACTTTCCAAGATTTTCTTTCCCAAGCTGGATTCCATCTCTCGTTTGGTGAGAATCCTTCACAGCCCCAGGTTACTCTTCGAGAAAAGCTGCTAATGGATGCGGGTGCAATTGCTGGATTTCTTACTGGATTGCGTGTTTATCTTGACGACCCTACTAAAGTAAAGCGCTTACTTCTTCCCACGAAAATATCTTGTAATGATAGAAGCAAGCTAACCAAAAGTGATGAATCTTCACCCAGTCTGATGAATTTGCTGATGGGTGTTAAAGTTCTACAGCAAGCAATTATTGACTTACTTCTAGATATCATGGTCGAGTGTTGTCAACCTTCTGAGGAGGAAGGCTCTTGTTCTGAGCCTTCTTTAATCGACCCAAAGACAGATGGCTGCGTGGCGTCAACTTCTTTGGAGCCAACAAGGGAAAATGGAGCAGCAGAACCTTCACAACATCTTGTTAACGAGAGATTCAAATCTGATGCAGATGCTACTACCCTCAGTACCTCAGCTGTGCACAGCTCTGGGATGAATGGGATTGATATACTTGAGAAAGTCCTTGCAATAGAGCCTGTTTCTCCCCCTGAAACATATGCTAGGCAGTCTTCCGATGGTTCTGTCCAATCAAAGGTGGGGGTTCTCTCACTGCTGAAACCTATTTAGCAGCTCTTCTTTCTTGAAACTGTGTTTTTTGACCATGGGTAAATTTTTTGGTCTTCAGACAAAATGGCCAGAACAATCTGAGGAGCTATTGGGACTAATTGTTAACTCACTGAAAACCCTTGATTCGGCTGTTCCACAAGGTTGCCCTGAGCCTAGACGACGACCTCACTCAGCTCAAAAGATTGCTCTTGTATTAAACAGAGCGCCCAAACATTTGCAATCAGATTTAGTTAGTCTGGTTCCTAAACTGGTTGAGCATTCGGAGCACCCGCTAGCTGCTTATGCACTTATTGAACGGCTTCAAAAGCCTGAAGCTGAACCAGCATTGCGTCAACCAGTAAGTTATCTCTTAGCCGTTCCTTTTCTTGGGAGTTTGGGGCATGGAGTGCCTGAAAAGGTGTCAGTTCATTTTATAAACTAAAGATTATACAGTGCTTTTTGAAACATCTGATGTTTTTCTGTGGCACAGGTTTACAATGCTCTTAGCCAGTTAGATTGTGACAGTGAAGTGTGGGAGCACATTCTACTTCAGTCATTTGAGATTCTGAGCGACTCAAATGGGGAAAATCTTATGGCGACCATTCATTTCATATTTAAAACTGCCTCCCAGTGCCAACACCTACCTGAAGCCGTAAGCAATCTGTGTCTCAATTTTTCTCCTTTGTTGCGCGATTAAATGTTTTCATAATCTTGGCTAAACAAAAAAATTTCCTTATGCAGGTAAGGTCAGTCCGTGAGCGGCTTAAAAGCCTGGGTGCTGACGTGCCTGTTTGCGTCCTTGAATATCTTAGTAAAACTGTACACAGTTGGACTGAAATTGCCGAAATGCTACTTAAGGACATCAACTGTGACGACAGTCTAGGGGACAATTTTGTGACATTACCCTGCGGGCCTTTTCTGATTGGTGAAAATGAGACTACCTCCGAAATGGCGGATTTGATGGATGAGCATGAATTCTATTCAAACAGACAATTTTGTGATGTCTACATTCTTCTGGAAATGTTGTCCGTTTCGTGCCTAGCTGTGGAGGCATCTCAAACAATCGAAAGAGCTGTTGCTCGTGGAGCCATTGGTGCTCAGTCTGTTGCTATGGTCCTTGAAAAAAGACGTGTTCAGGGCCCAAATCTGAGTGCTACAAGTGGGGATCCTGTATTGGAAGGAGAAGCCAGTGATGAACAAGCCGCTGAAGGGATTGAGTTCAGGGCAATTCTTAATCTTGCGGAGACATTAACTCATTCTGGAGATCCTCAAGTGAGGGGGTTTGTTAAAATGCTATACACAATATTATTCAAATGGTTTCCTGATCAGACCTTTAGATTTCAAATACTGCGGAGACTTGTAGATAGATTCACCAGCCCTGCGAGTAGCAGCAGTGAGTTAGACCTAGAGTTGGAGGTTCTTGCTCTTCTGATTTTTCAGGAACAAGAGGTTGCGAGACCCGTTTTAGCCATGCTGAAAAAGGTTGTGGAACATGCAAATATTGACAGGGCCGCTCTGTGGCACCAACTGCGTGTAAACAAAGAAGAGCTTGTCAGATTGAAGGAAGAAAAGAAGACAGAGATTCAAACTCTAACTAAGGAGAAATCTGCCATCACACAAAAATTAAGTGAATCTGAGGCTGCAAACACCCGTCTTAAGGTATTTGATTACTTCGTTTTCTCTCTGCGAGATTGTGATCATACAGGTTATTAACACTGTCTATTATATGGCAGTCTGAAATGAAAGCTGAGACGGACCGATTTGCTCGGGAAAGGAAGGATCTGGTAGAACAGTTTCGGGATGTGGAGAGTCAACTGGAGTGGGTGCGGTCAGAACGTCAAGATGAGATAGCTAAGCTCTCGTCTGAGAAGAAAAGTCTTCTGAATCGCCTTCACGAGGCAGAGACGCAACTTTCTTTGCTTAAAACTCGAAAGCATGATGAACTTAAGGTACGGCCTTGAAATAAGAAAATGATTAATGAACGGATCTTGATATTACAGCCTTCTTGCTTATCTGTTTTACTCTATTATATTTGTCCACGACTTCAAATTGTATTGTTCACTTACAAGATGCCATTTTCTTTGTGAATAAAAACAGAAGGTAGGGAAAGAGAAAACTGCTCTAATGGAGAAGCTAAAGGTAACAGAGGTAGCGCGGAAAAGATTTGAAGAAGAGCTGAAACGGTATGCCACAGAGAATGTAACTCGTGAAGAACTCCGCAAGTCACTTGAGGATGAAATCAGACGATTGACGCAAACAGTAGGGCAAACAAAAGAAGAGAAACGAGAGAAAGAAGATCAGGTTGCTCGTTGTGAAGCTTACATTGATGGAATGGAATCCAAACTCCAAGCTTGCCAGGTTTGACTGAGTAAAAAAACATATTTCTTAATCTGTGTTTCTTTGTTCAGAGCTCATAAAACTCTTCTTACGTGATTTATTTCAACAGGAATACATCCTCACACTCGAATCCTCACTTCGAGATGAGATGTCAAGACATGCGCCTCTATACGGTGCCAATTTAGATACTCTATCGCCGAAGGAACTTGATACAATAGCTCGGATCCATGAGGAAGGGCTAAGGCAGATCCATGCCCTTCAACAACAACGTAAAGGAAATGGTTTACCGCATGGTCTCCCTCATGGTCATACACTTTACCCGACTACACCACCTCAGCTTCCTCCCATGCCGATCGGTTTGCCACCTCAGATTCTTCCTAATGGTTCAGGGGTTCACTCAAACGGACATGTTAACGGTTCGGTCAGGCCCTGGTTTAGCCACCACACCTAAAAAAAAATACATATTTTCTTTCACGGGAAGACTACAACAAAAGAATGGCCTCTTGACTTTGTTTTTGAGAGGTAAATCAATCAATCAATATCATCCATGTTTATTTTTGTCTGAGATTTTCGGAGGGGTTTTTGGACTGATAGAACCATTGGGGAAAATCAATGTAGAAGATGAATAAGAAAAATAGAAGAGGATACAGATGCACAAACATGTTTGTGAAAGAAAAATATTGTATAAGCTGTTATGCCAATGGAACTAACAGTTGCCTTAACATTTATGGCATGGATCCAACCCAAATCGGGTATTAAGATATAGCTTTAAGAATGGCGTTGTGTTTGTCCTTAGTTAAGACAGACTTAGCTTTAGGACATTGTCGTGATACACGGTCGCTCCATTTGATACTAAGTAAATTAACTAATGAATAGTGTATGCCACCTACCTCAGATGGCAAACCTAATGTGGTGTAAGTGCCTAATATAATTGTAGACTTGACTTTTTATGGCTAATGCCTAAAGCTCTGGGAAATCAGAAATTAGAATCCGAAGCTGACCACTGTCAACAAGCTGAGTCAAGAACCATAGTCTAAACATATGTAAAAAGAAAACGAATCAAGCCCACAAATGAAAAGCACACCCAACTCCTACTTTGAACTCAACATGGAGATCTCCTAAGGCAGACAATATTTACACCCAAAATCAATGAAGCCATGCCTAAACACATTGCATCACACGGCCTGTCCACTGATCTATACGATTTGAATCAACCAGACCTTTAGACTTGGTTGTGAATTTCTTAATGGGAGTCGCCAACAAAGCCAAACCTATCCACAATATCCATTGCCAAGCAAACTTTAATATCTTATATAAAAGTAAAGTCGGGACATCAACAAAGAACACAGCAAAGCAAATTTCCATCGAAAACACAAACAAAAGAGCCTTAGATTGTAAGCAAAGAGTGCATATAAAAGAACTAATGTTTAAACAAACATAACCAACTAGATAGAGCCATGTTTTATCATGTTTAACTCAGTTTCGAAAGGATAAAACTTGAGCTGGATCTTGCAAGCTTTGGGGTGCATTTGCAGATCCCTGGTGAGTTTCAACTTTGCTTCTTCGTCTTTGGCCCGGGCACGGAGTTTGAGCATCTCAAGACATGGCAATTCCTCCAGGAAATGGTTCATTTGCTCAAACTCTCTACTAGTTCCCCAAAAGTTGGTTATCTTTACTACTTTCACAGGACATGTCCATAGAAATGAATTCTCATGCGAGTACTGAGATTTACCATTAGATTTCCCACCATGGAGCGAGAAACCCTGAAACAAGATGAATGATCATAGATTGAAGACTTGGGGGTGTGTAATTGTGTGTCTATAGCCTTGTTAAACGTTGGAGGTACCTGGATGATGAGTGACTCGAGATTTGGAGTCTTTTTAAGCAGTACTGGCAGAACTTGCCAACTGTACTCAGTTGAAACAGATAAACGAGACAGGTTTTCAAACACTGGGATTACTTCAGCAAAGGAAGCAAAACTCTGAAAACAAAATAATCAATCAACAATTCATTGACCAATTTCAAGAAATGAATCCAAAAGTCCAAGAGACAATCTAATTCTTATAACCTAGGAAGCAAAACAAGGATGTCTCTATGATTCAGTAACATATAAGACAAAAACAGAGTACATACTTACCCATGAGGTTATAGCAGTCAAGTTGAGAATCTTGACATTCTTTAACCCCTGAATAAAATTCGTTGGATTGCCTTTCTTGGATCGATCTATCCACCTCCAATTATGATTAAGCTTAGCTTCGACAAGAGAGTCAAGATTGACAATTGGATACTCATCCGGAACAAAAATATTAAAGTGTAAGTAGGTAAGCTTCGGAGTATCGAGACTAAAGCTCTTAAAATCCGACACAAAAGGACCTTCATGACTATATTTATCGTCATAGGTTAAACAGTTCATGGTAAGTCTCAGAAGCGTCGCACATGACACAACGCAACACCATTTCCGATGTTCCCAACGCGAACCACTTATCACCAACTCCTCAAGCACATGGCAAGCACCAAGAAGCGCTTCAAATTCACATCCACCACCACGATTAGAGAACATGATGCAATCAAGACACAATGTCTTGAGAGCTGGAAGAGAAACATCTTTAGGAACCATAGAAATAACAAACCCTTTTCCTAGTTTCAGCTCGACAAGGCTCTTGCAAGTAAAGACCTTTAAAGGCAATGGAGTCACCCCTTTAGCAAACACGTCAAGATAGAGACGATCCAAGGCACCACCACCACCACGACTCATCACATTAGATATCCAAAGATTGACACGTGTCGAATCAACCATATATTGACATTTTAGGGAGAATTTCTTTACTGGGTAGTTGCCTGAGACTGTCAGTACTCTATCAACGAAATTAATGAAGCTCCTCGAAGCATCTAACTCACGTGTCCAAAAGACAAAGCCTCTGTCTCTGACTATATCTTCGAAACACAGGTTTGGTGTGAAGGCGAAGAGATCCCGCCATCTCTTGGAGAGAAGGGAGGTTAAAGCAGCCTCCTTTGTGGAGAGGAAGGACAAGGTGTGGCAAAGAATCCCATCAGGTAGACCACTGATTATATCCATCACTTTACCAAACCCTAGAAAGACTTGATTACTTTCTAGCGACTAGACCCCGAACATCACTTTACCAAACCTCAACGGTTTTAACGCCCAAATCCAAAATCTACAAAGACACTGAGATACAGAGAACATAGATAAATCGTTTACAGCATACGAGATAGAGAAATATCTGAGAATAAAGTATTTAAAAAAAATTATTAAAACAAGAAAATATTACAAACGTAGATTTAAGTTCTTTATAACATAATAGTTAGTTTCCACTATTAGAGATCTTTTTCTAAGGGAAATTGAGCTCTATAACAAGAGAAAAAAAAAGTTAATTGGCAAAATAGCTAAAATCTCTAACAGATCCACTCACACCGTTAGTTTTCTATATTAATACAGTTTTGTCCTTTGTTTTAATCGGTGAATCCTGCAAAAAATAAAAAAATTTTAAAAACAATTATTAGCTGTAAAGTTGCAAATCATGTGTAATTGTCCTCCACATCTTTTATTTCACTTATCTTCATTCCTTTCTCAAAATTGAAAGGTCTCAGAGACAAATGCAGTAACCCCGTCATATCACTTCCTTCCCCTCAAATTTCACATATCCTTCGTGCTTATCAACTTCGGCCTCTACTCTGGTGCTGAAATCGGCTACAATCGACGGTGGAAACTTCGCAGCGACGCTGCTTAACAATCCGTGTCAATTCCAGTTCTCACACTCGATTCTTCTCGAATCTCTACACCCACCGTAAGTTCTTAAGTTTTAACTTTCCCTTCTCTTCATCTGATGTTATATTATCTTCTATTTTGGATTTACTCGGAACTAGGGTACTATAATTGTTAAACACCTTTCTCGAATTAAATTGTCGGATCTGTTTTTATAGTCGGTTAGAATTCCCCTGTACATTCTTATTCTTTCTTAAGTTTGAATTGTGGGTTTTTTAATCCGAGTACATAACCAGGTTTATTATCCTCAGATTGATTGTTGTGTGGAATAGTGTTTGCATTACATAGTTCCTTAGTTGTATGTATATAGTACGGTCTGTTGTAGATCTATCCATGCGAAATGGAATGGAATTGAATAACAGATTATAGTTTCTATTTCACATGGAATTGTATATTTATATCTTATCCATTTCTATTTGTTATCCAAGCTTGTTTAATTTTACATAAAGATTCATTTCTATATATATACATAACCAATTCTCCTCACTGTGTGAGATCTCTTATGACTATTTTATTTGAGATAGAATAGAAAAATTACATGTTTAAGCTATTCTATTTGAGATGGAATCGATTGACAGACTATATCTAGTACGGAACCAGAAATTTTCAGCATATTATATGAATTATATTTAGGTTTATAGATCAGTGATTATGGTTTAGATTAAGTAATTACGAGTTTGTCTTAAGTTTTTCGTATTTAAGCATTTTAAAAACTAAAATCGAGTAAAATGACTCTTCTATTCTACTTATATTTGTTCCATACTATATCTTGTACATAATGAGAAATTTGTATCATATTATATAGATTCTATTTGGGTTTATTGATCAGTGATTAGAGTTTAGATTTAGTAAGTAGATTTTTTTAGGGTTTAGTATTTAAGCATAATAAAAACTAATAGAAATGGAGTAAATTGTTCCTGCTATACTATTTATAAATGTTCCATACTATCTATAGTACAATACGAGATATTTGCAGCATATTATATAGATTATGTTTGGGTTTATAGATCAGTGATTGGAGTTTAGATTTAGTAATAAAAATTTTGTTTTACGTTTTAGTATTTAAGCATTTTAAGAACTAAAATGGAGTAAAATGACTCTTCTATTCTATTTATAGATGTTTCATACTATATCTAGTACATAATGAGAAATTTAAATCATATTATATAGATTCTGTTTGGGTTTATAGATCAGTGATTAGGGTTTAGATTTAGTAAGTAGTTTTTTTGAGTTTTAGTATTTAAGCACAATAAGAGCTAATAGAAGTAAACTGTTCCTTCTATACTATTTATAAATGATCCATACTATGTATATTAAGTACGAGCTATTTACAACACATTATATAGATTATGTTTGGGTTTATAGATCAGTGATTAGGGTTTAGATTTAGTAATAACAAGTTTGTCTTGCACTTTAGTATTTAAGCATTTTTAAGAACTAAAATGGAGTAAAATGACTCTTCTATTCTATTTACTATATATAGTACATAATGAGAAATTTTCATCATATTATATAAATTCTATTTAGGTTTATAGATCAATGATTAGGGTTTAGATTTAATAAATAGTTTTTTTGGGTTTTAGTATTTATGCATAATAAAAGCTAATGGAAATGGAGTAAATTGTTCCTACTATACTATTTATAAAGTTTCATACTATGTATAGTACAATACGAGATATTTGTAACATATTATATAGATTATGTTTGGGTTTATAGATCAGTGATTAGGGTTTAGATTTAGTAATTACAAGTTTTCTTGGATTTAAGTATTTATTCTGCTGGGTATGATTTAATATTTGCAGGCCATACTATGTCCTCAGTATGTATTGTATCCACACATTTACTGCTTACAGTGAAAACATATGTTTAAAAAGATATTGGAGAATACATAGTATAGAACAATATAGGGAAGATAAAATAGTTTAAATTTTGCTTATGCTATTGTAGCAACATTTTTACTATGTCGTCCACCTTGTTATCAGGTTATCATGGATGAATTAAGCTTTCTAATAAGATTGTTTGAAACATGATTTAGGACAACGGGTAGGAAACATGTTAATAGCTATTTGAACCTACGGTGGATCGACCTCATCGAAACCACATTAGAGGACGATCATTTGGCAATGTTTAATTCTTAGCAATTGGGGAGCTTGTTGAAAATGAGTGTCATGCATTACTTGTAATGTTTGTGCATTACCTGGAATGTTTGTGCATTACATTCTCTGTAGTTTGTAAGTTTTTTATGTATTAAACTTTGTTTCAGGTTTGAAAATATTTGTAATTTATAAAGAAACAAATTTAAACAATAGTATTCTTTTCTTCTAAGTAATTTTGTACGGTCGTTTGTAATATGGTTTTCATTCAGACAAGGGTTACAAATAAATTTAATATGTAAGTGTTTACTGAAAATTAAATAGTGTCATTACTTTATAACAAGGTTTTAAATTTAATTTTATATAATTTTTATCTACAATTTCGTTCACAGTTCCATACTATTTTACTTTTGATGCTCAAATTTATTGACTCACGATGTAAATAAAATAGATATGCAATTCTATACTATTTTGAGAGGGTTTATACTATTTTCTTGTCCATGGAACCTGTGCTATTTGAAATGGAAAAACTTAGTTTTAAAGACTAGTTACGTGCCATTCCATTTCTCTGGTATTTCTGAAGAACCGTATCTTAACTAATATACTAGTCGCTTTCCATTCTATTTGGCCATCTGTTCCGTTCTACATATTTATATTATATATTATATCAGATGGTACAATTCAACATTTGAGAACCACATACGATTGGGGTTCACATAAGGGCAAGCATTACCATATTCCATGAAGGCATAGCCATATCAACATTTGAGAAATATGTTAAAATGATCTTTAGATTGTAACTACATTTTCACTTTTTGTATTCTATATGCGTCACGTAGAATGGTAATGCATCTTATTGACATTTCGAAATTTGAGTTTAATTTTACGGAAAATTCGAGGATTCATTTTACTGCATATAGTGAGTAAATATGAGATTGGAATAGTGTTTAGTATTTAGAGAATGTGGGTATGATCTGAGTCTTATACTATTTTGATGATATGGAATAGAATATTTTGTGCATATGTATGAAGTCAATAACGTGTAACATGGTGTAATATCCTTAATTAATATATAATAGTCTTCAGTCACTTCTGACCATATGTTATTTGTTATACGTATCAGATAGATCATGTGTTTGCCGGGAAACTGTGAGGGGAAAGGGTATAACCGGATGATTTTGGATGCAAATGTTAGATTCTTTATTATGTCAAAATCATTGCTATCTACCTAATTTCACATCCAAATATGGCTATTACACAAATAAGCCACTTTTTCTAACTTTCTTCTATTTTACATTTTGATGGTTAAAAGTTAAAACCAAAACAATCTATAATTAGTAAGTCTTACTTTATTTATTTCTCGGAACTCTTCTCCACAAATCTTTCTCTCTTTCTCTCCTCCTTTTTCATTTGCTTTTTCCTTCTTCTTTCGGCTAAGTAAAATCTTTTGAAAACTTAAAGTTTTTACTTCAGCGAGCCTGCTTTTTATTTCTGAAATTGACAGAGAAAAGAAGAAATTTAAAATTATTTTCATCTCCAGATTCAAAAATTTAATATTTTTAACCTCCGGCGAAATCTCTTAATCCGGGAAGTTATGGCGTTGTCTCTGTGACTACGAATGTTCAGGTGTGGACTCAAAATCTGGGAAGCTATAGTGTCATGCTCGAAAACAAACGGGTTGATGATTGACGAAAAAGAGCTATAACATTTTGGTTATAATTAGTTAAAACTCAAAAATTATAAGAATACTTGGTTTTCACTTGCTTTTGGATCTAATTGATTAATTATTACAATATTATTAAGTTCTAGTGGTAAAACACAAAAAAATGAAGATTGCACTAATAAAATCAATGGTGGCTCTAAGATTTAATTCCAGAAAGATAGGATACCCTAATAGGAAAATATGATTTAATTACAAAATTACCACTTATTTAGAAAAATAACAAATTGCGTACAATTATATATGTACATGTGTACATCTTAACAAGTGTACATTCTGTATTATTAAAACAATGTACACTCTTCACATATGTACACTATTTATTATTAAAGCAAAAAACAAAATTTACATATGTACAATTATATGTATGCATGTGTACGTCTTCACATATGTATAGTCTTTATTATTAAAACAATGTACCATGTATATAAGAAACAAATTGATAAGAAAACAAGTCAAGACAAGTGACTCGTAAACCTCTGTCTTTCCTTCCATGAGCGTCTAAAACTCCTCGTCATCACCGGCTCCTTTCGAAGTGATCCACCACCGAATAAGGATTCACCTCCGTGGGTCTCTTATTCAATTATGAGTGATTTACACTCTTCAGACATTAAAATTTGTTTTGCGGAAATAATTTTTTTTTGAGTTTTTTTCTTGTTCTATAAAGAAAGATTTTCTACATATTCATTGCTAAAATAAGTATTTTTATTTTTTAAGTATAAAATTGGGTTTTTATTTTTTGATGAAAATTAAGATTTATGGTTTTCACCAAAATACCATATATGGTTTTGATGAAATGTTTTATAGTGTGTACATATGAATCATTTTCCAAAATTGACGGGTGTACATATGAATCGTTGTACATATGAATGATAAATTGTATATACTTGAATTCATGTATGGTTTTGATGAAATGTTTTATAATGTGTACATATGAATCATTTTTCAAATTGACAGATGTACATATGAATCGTTGTCCATATGGATAATAAATTGTGTATACATAATGTCATGTACATATGACTATATGACTATATACATAAATCACAACAACAATCGTTGTACATGTGGATAATAAATTGTGTGTACATAATCTCATGTGCATATGACTTTTTTATTTTTATTTTTTAATAAGGGGCATTTCAGTAAATACGGTTTTGTCTTCCCCAAATTTTTAGGGTTTTCTGCAACATTTTTTGCGGCCGCCATTGATTTCTTTCTCATAATCGTCTATTCTATTATATTTTAACTGTTGGTTACACTTCAAAATCATAACTTTATCATTTATAAATAGATTTTCAACTTCAGATTTAAAAAAGTAGTGAGTCTTTTGTGAGATTTGACGATTGTTGTTTGAGTTTCATTGTGTAACTGAAAAACGGCCACCATGGTGGGATTGAGCATCATAATCACCACGAGCTATTGTCACAGCACAAGGAAAATGAATTGAAAAGCACGTACGATGTGTTGATTTACGACGAAGAAGAAGACGAACAGTGACGATTGATTTTCTGATCGAGCTCGACTGAGGTTCACCGGCGGTCACAAAGGAGGACCAGGAAACATGTTGAAGATGAGCTGCATATATGACTTGGATCGAGAGGTTGAAAAGAGAGATGTGAGAAAATTTTTTTGAAGCTTTTTGATTTCTAAATTTTGTTTGCTACTCTAGAGAAAAAAAAAACAAAAATTAATAAATTTTAGAAAATTGTAGAAACATTTTAGTTAGATAAAAAAAACTCTAGTTGAAAATAATTGGTTTCTAGTTACAAAAAACTACTTCAGGAACATAAACTGTCCTATAGTGTTATTAAAAACTCAAAACTGCTTTACAGTGTAAAAAACTCTTAAAACAATGTCATCCAAGGACATTGGAAACCATCTTCACCCTAACCGATCGCGACATATCCTTCGATGTCATCCTAGGACGATCTTGGTTATGAAAAATGAAAGCGGTCCCCTCGATCTACCACCAATGCATGAAATTTATATCGCCAACAAGAGAAAAAACTATCTATAGCAGCCAGAAACAGTCTCGAGCCTGCTATATGTCCGAATTAAGAAAATAAATATCCCCGAGAGGGAAACCCCCCGATCTCTCGCGACCTCACGATAAAAGATCCTGACAAGAATCTCTCCAATTTCATCCCGCTTGACAAACGTTTTCCCCATAAATGTGTAAATATCGGGATCGATCTCCCGCGAAAATAAGACGCGACTTACTATATTTCCTGCAACAAGTGCCCAACATTCACATGGTCGGCCGCCGACATGCATGGGATCGATAGCGATATCGCGTCCCACAAGTTAAACGTCGATCCTACCTTCCAACCGGTCAAACAGAAGTGAAGGAGGTTAGGTCCCAAATGGTCGAAAGCTGTAAATGACGAGGTCGATAAATTCTTAAAGATCGGTTCCATCCGTGAATTTCAAAATCTCGACTGGCTTGCTAATCTAGTTGTGGTTACAAAGAAGAACAGCAAATGGAGGGTTTGCATTGACTTTACCGACCTTAATAAAGCTTGCCCGAATGATAACTTCCCGTTGCCACACATAGACCGTCTGGTATAAGCCACTATCGGAAACGAATTACTCTCGTTCATGGATGCATTCTCCGATTATGACCAGATCCTTATGAACCCCGAAGACCATGAGAAAATGAGCTTCATCACCGAACGGGGCACATATTGTTACAAAGTAATGCCTTTTTGATTGAAAAATGCAGGAGCCACCTATCAACGTCTGGTGAATAAAATGTTTGTCAATCAGCTCGGTGAAACGATGGAGGTCTATGTAGACAACATGTTAATCAAATCTTCGAGGGCAAGCGACCACGACCTCCAACTCCAGGAATGCTTCAGCACCCTAAAATTCGGAATGAAATTAAACCCAGCCAAGTGCACCTTCGGGTAGCCTCGGGAAAATTCCTTGGATATCTAGTAACTGAAAGAGGTATCGAAGCCAATCCGAAACAAATCAAAGCACTCGTCGACACCTTGCCTCCAAGATCAATCCGAGAAGTACAGTGGCTCACCGGGAAAATTGCAGAGCTGAATCGTTTTATATCAAGATCGACCGACAAGTGTCTCCCATTCTACAAACTTCTAAAGGGAAACAAAAATTTCGAATGAAACGAAGAATGCAACGCCGCACTAAAAGAACTCAAGGCATATATAAGCCAGCCTCCCGTACTATCGCAGCCAATCAAAGCTGAAACCTTGTTCCTATATGTAGCTACCTTCGAACACGCGGTCAGTAGCGTACTGATCCGCGACGAAAGCAGTGAGAAAAAACTGATCTACTATACAAGCAGATCCCTGATTGATGCCGAAACGAGGTACCCCGCGGTAGAAAAAATGGCATTAACCGTCGTAACAGCTGCAAGAAAGTTCAGACCATACTTCCAATCGCATTCGATCATAGTGATGACATCATAGCAACTGCGGACCGTTCTTCACAGTCCAAGCCAATTGGGAAGATTGGCAAAATGGGCAATCGAACTCAGCGAGTACGATATCGAATACAAATCTCTAACGAGGTCGAAGGCCCAAGTGTTAGCCGACTTCGTTATCGAACTCATTCCCAAAGACACCGGATCAGACTCCGGATCGAATAAATGGAAGCTCCACGTTGATGGAGCATCCTAGAAACAAGGATCGGGGATTGGGATCCTGCTCGAATCCCCGACCGGAGAAAAAATTGAACAATCCTTCCGCCTAGGCTTTAGCGCCTCGAATAACGAAGCCGAATACGAATCTCTAATCGCCGGATTACGATTCGCTCGAAGTCTTGGCGCCCAAAATAAAAATGAACAAAATAGATTTAAATGTTTTATTAAAAAAAATGTATGGGAGAATTTCTGTGTACCACTTTCATTGTACTATTATTCATCTTTACCACCACTAAAGAGACATTTTCATAAATACTTAATTATGAGATTGCATTAAAGAGACAAAAGATATTTATACCCTTGGTTTATAGATATAAATAATTAATTAAATAATTTTTTTTTAATTTCGAATTATAACTTTTTAAATTCGAGAAAAAAATTGAACATTTTTTTGCTTTTTTGTTTAAGTTTTTTCGAATTTCTTAAAGAAATCAGATAATTTTTCAAATTCGAAAATACTTTTTAAAACTATTTTTAAATTATTTCCTTTTTATTTAAATAGTTCTTTATATTTTATTTAATTTTTAAACCTTATACTCTAAACCTCCTCTCTTTAAATCTAAACAAAAAAATCTAGGAATAGTTAACCCTATAGTTATAAGTGTCTATTAAGTTTAGAGTTGAAAATGAAGTTTCGGGAATATGATTTCAAATTTTAATAAAAGAATAAATGTAAATTTTAAAATAAAAATGTTATTTTGGTAATTTAAGTTTTTTAAGCTCTATTTTTTGTGACCGAAATGTTAAAAATGTATAGTTGAGAGAATTGTTTCTGGTTTCAATTTTAAATTTTTGTTTTTCTTTTAACTCAAAAGTGAAGGACGGCTGGCAAAGAGGGAAAAAAGGAAAGGAAAAAAGGACAATAGTTAAAACCTTTCCTTAGCCTCGTCGACGGGATCCAACGATTACTAATAAACTCTTCTGTTTCGGAGTTTACGTCACTCGACGATGACGCCGATCATCAGATCCAGCCCCGTTCTGGCTTTCCTGGTTTTGCAGTTCTTCTTGATCTTCTTTGCTTCCACTCTCCCCTGCTCTTTTGGGTAATGGATCGCCCTCGTGCTTTCCCCATCGATTTAGCCTTTTTAGAGTTTTAGTAATTGCCTAGTCGATGCAGCAGCTGACCTCCGAAGTTGATTTCAGTTTGATTGACTTTGACTGGCGAATCCGAGAAATTAGGGTAAATCCGAAAATCAAGTTTTCTTAATATCTCTTGGTGTGGTTTATTTGTGACAGGTCTGAGGATAGTTACACCATCACTGGTAGAGTGAAGATTCCACCAAGTACGTTTCAGCTTCTTTTCTTTTGTTTTTTCTCTCCTTGATCTTGTGTGTCTTCTGTGTATTTTGTTCTTCTTAGTTTTGATTACTAGATATGCGGCTATATTACCGATCCTTGAGTTTATTAGAAACTTTCCTTTTAATCTAAAAAGAATCGGCAGTCTTCATTGTGGACCATGTTGTGTTGTGAAGCTACTTGGGTTTGGTTATTCATCTTTCAAACGATCTTAAATTCGCTTGTTTTGTATCAGCATATATTTCATGTCTTATCTTTACTAATTACTAGTATGTTTTGATGTTCTGGATGATTTTTTTACTGCTTCATGACTAGTCTGATGAATTTATGATACATTAAACTTTATGGAACTAATCTACAAGTTCTTTTTGTAGGCAACGTGATTGGTCACACCACAAAGTTCTCAAGTGTCAAAGTTGTACTCAATGGTGGACAGAGTGTTACGTTGCTCAGGCCTGATGGATATTTCACTTTGTATCCTATTCATCAACCAATTATATATTTCTCTTTTGAGTATATATATATATATATATATATATTACTTTATCTCCTTTGATATATGCCAAAAGAACCGAGCAGTAACAGTATGATTCTTCATCTTACGCGGTCCTTGACTAACTGGTTTTGTAAAGTCACAAAGTGCCTGCTGGGACTCATTTGATTGAAGTATCTGCAATGGGCTACTTCTTTTCTCCGGTAAGTTTGTTTTTCTCTGTGTGTATTGTTGCTATGCTTTGTAAGAATCCCGTTCGGATACGAAGATTGATAAACGGTATAATCAGGTACGAGTCGATGTTAGTGCAAGGCACCATGGAAAAGTTCATGCAACACTAACCGAAACCAGGAGGAGTCTTACTGAGCTGGTTTTGGAGCCTTTGAGGGAAGAGCAATACTACGAGGTGATTCTCTTCTCATTGCTGAATATTTGGCTGTGGTTCGTCATATCGTTTTTTTCTTTCTGATTTCATCTTGCAAAAATACTACAGATTCGAGAGCCTTTCTCCATTTTGTCACTTGTGAAAAGTCCGATGGGTCTCATGGTGGGATTCATGGTCGTGGTTGTGTTCCTAATGCCCAAACTGATGGAAAACATAGGTATGATTCTATAACCCTCGACTTGTATGCAGACATTGTATGGTTCACGATGAGTGAACACTTTCATATTTCGATTTTTGTTTGTATAATGTATACAATACAACTTTATATAAATATGATGATTCAGAATTGATGGATTTTACCCACAATATGTCATAAACAGATCCAGAGGAGATGAAGCAAGCACAAGAGGAAATGAGGAGGCAAGGTGTGCCTTCGCTTTCGAGTTTGTTGCCTAGCGCTGGGGCTAGCCGTTAAGAGTTTCTCAGTTAACCCAATGTATCACAAAAGGAGGGGAGAAAGGTATCACGTTCTTGTGAGAGACAAACTCATTGTAATAGATTTGTATTGTGTAATAGATTTGTATTAAGAAGAAGAAACGAGATTGTAATGCAAACCATTAATTAGAAGTTCATGCTCATCATTCAACATCATCACTGCATCGTACTCCTCTATATATCTGTCAGTGTCATCATATTTGTATTCAACGGGAAAGTCGTTCTTTTTCCCGATGGATACCCTTCAGCATGCGGTTTTAGAGGCAGAATGCTGGAGGAAGACAAATGAGGAAAAGGAAGACGTCGAGGTATATGCGCGAGCCTCGGCTGTGGAAGCCACGATAGAGTCCCCCGGGTTCCCCCGAGTCCCTACCTGTCAAATTGATGCCTCATAAGTCGGTCATAGCAGCGCAAGTGGCTTAGGATGGAGTCTAAAGGACCACATGGGCTCCGAATACTTTGGGTTACGAGTGTGTCGAAGGAGCCGTTCAGCTTTACACGCAGAGATGGAAGCCTTACTTTGGGCAGCTACATGTCTGAGAGACTTGCGGATCTCTTCGTTTCAAGTCGAAACTGACTGTTCCGACCTTGTGGACTAACCGGCTTTTGCTACAGAGATCGAGCTGCTCCAGAGACTACAGACAAGCTTCGAGGATGTGTGTATTTCACACATTCCTCGAAGTATAAACGGCAGACGCACTAGCCAAAGAAGCAAGGAGGAAAGAATTTGCTTTTTTCATATAGATCAAACCAGGCCAAATGGAGGTGTTCCTCGGAAGATCGACTCGTCTGTTCACCACTTGATCTAGCTAAGATGGGCGGCGGCCAAAAAAAAAAAAAAAAAAAAGAGGACCAAAGAAGGAAACAAGTTTAATGTTCATGATTCATAGCAACAGCATAGTCAAAGGCAAAGCCAAACGTTTCTGACCTTTTTCGTATGCAAAAGGACTAAAGAAGGAAACAATTTTCATGACACTATCTTTTTTTTGCATAGATAAGATAACAGAAGTATGTTCAATTCTTATCTGTTTTATATGATTGTGCAAAAATATACATATTCTTTCGAAAAAGTCAAAGTATATACCTATTATTTATTTTTTTTTGGCTAAATCATCACTAGTCATAGTATCGACTGCAATATCATCTAATTTTATTACGTGGATGTTACATAAACTAATTTTGCGGACAAGAATGTCACATGTAGAATAATTTTATAAAAAAAAAATATATAATAGCAATTTTATAAAAAAAAAAAATCGATGATATATTATAAAAAATTGTGATGGCTTATATTTTTATCATTTAGGAAAACTAAAAACTTAATTAAACAGTAAATATTAATCTTATATAATGAATATATTTATTATAATGTGTCGATCCTATCAATTACTCTTATGTTAATCTTGGTTATGTATTTTTATATAATTTGTTTAGATCGGTCATGTAATCATGTGAATATTTTTTGCTAAAAGATTAAGAACTTATGATATGTTAACCTAAACTCTTTAAATGTAGACAACATTACCAAAATTAATCGAGAGTAATAAGAAGTTATAAATTGTCAAAAAATAATAATAAACATTAACATTTTCTAAAATTAAAATTTATATAAAACAGCTATTTAAAAAAAAACTATTGTACACGTGACATCGTCGCCATCAAAATTAGCTTATGTAGTATTAACATAAGAAATATTAGATGATGTGGTGGCTGATGTGGCGACTGATGTATGATTTGACCAAAAAAAATAAAAAATAAATATGTTATTTGAATTTTTGAAAATACATGTATATTTTTGCACTGTCATATATAGCGGTATGAATTTAACATATCGCGATATATTTGGTATGAAATGACCGTTTTTCCGTAAAATAACAGACGATAACTCATAAGAATTGGATTCAGACCCTAATGTTAGGGCTGGGTTAACATTTTAATGGCTTTAGAAAGAAAATTAAATTTTTTTAACTCTAGAGTATTATTATTTTTTATTAACTTTAGAGTATATCATCTTTTCTAAGTATAACAAAGACATATATACATTTAACTGTCTAAAAATAATGTGATTTAGTCTCAGATAGTAGATGAATCAAATCTAAAACATCTTAATATCCAAATCTTTATCTCAATCTAACAGAATAATTTATATTATATTTAGGAATTCGACCATAACCACACAAAATATCACTTTGGCTTTAGATCAATTGGCTCTCTGTAACTGCTTCTTGGTGATTTTAGATATTTGGTTATGATCAAAGCTTGATTTTTTGATCATCTTCGTGTTATTCACTCTCTCTTTCAGCTTTATGGGCATCGATATTTGAAAAGAAGGGAGGGTAAACTGCATAACCGAAGACCTTTTAACCTTTTCTAGAGTGTTTTGGTCTTCACGTCAGGGACTTCTGTAAGTCCAGTACCCAATGGGCCAAGCCAAGGCCCATACGTGAATGAAGACAAAACAGAATAGAGCATGCTTCCCTCCTTTGCAACGGTCTCCAAGTATGTACCTACAAGGACAAGGCCAAAAGAGGAGTCACAGCCACAACTTTACAATAGATTTGATTCTCTCTTAGCTGTAAATGAGTGAGTCATCATGACAGCTAATCTAGGCCTAGATCCTTCTGTGTGATTGTATATATTGCTACCCTATGTATTCGTTGAAGTTAAGTTAGTGAAGATAAGAAAGTTAAACCTAAAGTTACCTTATTTCTCTATCTTCTTCATGGTATCAGAGCCTCCCTAGTACCCTCACAGGTCTATCGATGGCAGATGCTCAACCACCTCCACAATACCCATTTCCCACAAACGTCCATATCCTTCACTCAGTTACCTTGAAGCTAAATGATTCAAACTACCTCCTTTGGAAGACACAGTTTGAGTCACTGGTGTCTAGTCAAAAGCTGCTTGGTTTCATCAACGGCAGTGTCACTCCTCTAGAAGCCACAGATCCATAATACGAATCATGGTTCTGCACAGACCAGTTAGTCAAGTCTTGGTTGTTCGGCACGTTGTCTGAAGAAGTACTCGGTTATGTCCATAACCTCACCACATCACGCGATGTCTGGCTGTCCTTAGCTGAGAACTTCAACAAAAAGTCTTTGGCTAGAGAATACTCTCTCTGAAGAAGTCTCCAGCTCCTCAACAACAAAGGCAAATCCTTCACCGTCTACACTCGCAAGTTTAAAACAATCTGTGATGCTCTGAGCTCCATTGGCAAACCTGTCGAAGGATCTATCATGATCTTTGGATTCCTCAATGGTCTTGGAAGAGAATACGACCCCATTACTACTGTGATACAAACATCTCTCTCCAAGATACCTCCCCCAACATTCAACGATGTGATTTCAGAGATCTAGAGCAATGACACCCGTCTGCAGTCCTACAAGGATACTCAGTTTGTCAACTCAACTGCAGCGTTCAACAGTGAGAAATCAGGAACAATCAAAGAGGTAGAGGAAGATCAGGTTTCAACCGTGGCAGAGGAGGCTTCTCTAGCAGAGGTAGAGGATTTTCTCAGCAGAACACTAGCTCCAACACAAGACAGAGACCTACGTGCCAGATCTGTGGACGCATAGGTCAAACTGCACTCAAGTGCTACAACCGGTTTGATAATAACTATCAACCTGCTGTGTATACCATGGCGAGAACCTCAGAAGAGACAAGTAAAGACTGGGTAGCAGATGGTGCTTCGGCACATGTGACTTCCTCAGCAAACAATGTCCAGTCAGCCCACCCTTACGAAGGAAACGACACGGTTATGGTTGGAGATGGGACATACCTTCCTATCACACATGTCGGATCCACCAACCTCACCACTTCCTCAGGTACACTTCCCTTAAATGAAATTTTGATCTGCTCTGGAATTAAAAGATCACTGCTTTCAGTATCTAGAATCTGTGATGATTATCCCTGTGGCGTCTATTTTGATAGTACTAAAGCCTGTATTATTGACATCTCAAATCAGAAAGTGGTGGCCAAAGGTCTTATGCGTAATGGGTTATATGTGTTGGAAAGTCAGGAGTTCTTTACCTTCTTCTCAAATCGGCAGTGTGCAGCTAGTGAAGATGTATGGCACAGCAGATTAGGGCATGCGTATTCCAAGCTTCTCCAACACCTACACAACAGCAAGATGATTCAGATAAATAAGAGCAGAACTACCTCCGTTTGTGAGCCTTGCCAGATGGGGAAGAGTAGTAAAATTCAGTTTTTTCCTTAAGATTCTCAAGTAGTTAGACCTCTAGAGAAGATACATTGTGATCTCTGGGGTCCTTCACCAGTTGTATCAAACCAAGGGTTCAAATATTATCCAATTTTTGTTGATGAATTCTCACGATATACCTGGTTCTATCCCCTTAGACTAAAGTCAGATTTCTACGCAGTATTCATTACGTTTCAAAAACTTGTTGAGAATCAGTTAAATTCAAGAATCAAGGTTTTTCAAAGTGATGAAGGAGGAGAGTTTACTAGCAACAAGATGAAAACACACCTGCAGCAATGTGGTATTCGACATCATCTGTCGTGTCCCTATAATCCTCAGCAAAACGGCACTGCAGAATGGAAACACAGACACATTATTGAGCTAAGGCTATCCATGATGTTTCAAAGTCATTTACCCCTGCATCTCTGGATAGAGGCTTTCTACACGGTTACCTATCTCAGTAATCTCCTACCCTCTACGGTTCTAAAATATAAAATCCCTAAGGAAGTTCTGTTTGGTACAAAACCTGATTTGTCGTCTTTGAGAGTCTTTGGGTCTGCTTGCTATCCTTGTCTCCGATCAATTACTAAACACAAGCTGGAACCACGGTCTTTGATGTGTGTGTTCTTGGGATACTCGGCTGATCAAAAAGGATACCGGTGTCTCCATCCTCCATCAGGAAATGTATACACTACCATACACGTCATGTTTGATGAAGAGATGTTCCCCTACAAAAAGAATTACAAGGAGTTCGTCCCAAGATATAAGACAGCTATTCTGCAAGCGTGGCAAAAAGCAACAACTCTGGAGAGGAAAGAACCTATTAGTCAAGTTGCTAGAGAGATTCCCGGGCCATGTTTGCTCCAACAAAAACCTGTTCAAGCACACACAAAGCCGCAACATTCAGAACAACAGTCTGGATCTGATAACACAGTTGAAGTCGATGTTCAAG